TTATTAACCTCATCTAATTACCTTTTAAACTAACAGAAAAATAGGGCTATACACCACATTCGAACCCCCCCCTCCACGTCAATGTGAGACCCCACCCCACCATTTGGTGACACAAAACGTGGGACTAGACCCCACCCCACGATAGTTAAGACGACCCTACACGTAGACTAAGGGTCCACCATACCTGGACTAGACCGTCCACCAAACTAATGGTGAGCCCTACCTGATACGATGGTGAACACTACACTACACTTGATGGAACTCTACACGATACTTGGTGAACCCTACACAAAACCACCCCCTGGTGAGCCCTACCCTGTCCCCTGGGGGCCCCTACCCTATCCTGAACCCCCCACACGCGGGCGAAAAAACCTTCTCTAACTACATGCCCGCTGAGACATATCCATTCCCACAAGTAGTCACCGTCCCTCGCTACTTTTATGAATTCAGTGAGACGTTCATTATACAATACAGTACCAGTCTCCAGATAATCTGAACAGTCACCTTAACCTGTGAACTGCTGTCCGTAACCTTTTTGAAACACAATCTCTTGACCATTGTAACACAGATATCCCAGAGAACGACATATAGCAGAGAGCTGTGCTGATTGAGATCCTAAGCGACTCCAAGTGCTTATCGCTTCCTATACTGTCTCTCTCAGTGCTCAAACCATTTATTCCCATTGAGTCACAGCGCTCACCGCCCTATTTACCAATCATCTAACCAGCTTTAACGTGATTTGAATTATTAACGATTTACTTACAGCTTTATCCAATTGCCTCAACTCTTTGTCTTTCCTTTTTCCATTACAGAGTTCCCATTCTCTCTTTGCTTTAAAATTGTTCTCCAATCACTTATTATCTTCTGAATCCTTCCAATGTTGCTAAGAATACTGATAGCCTCACTACAATACTTATTAAAACTTCAAACACAATCATCCTTCAATATTTATAAACAATAACATACATCATCCCGATCCCCGCATAGATTATACGTAAATCATCCAGTTTACACTTATATAACCAGTATCTTGACCATAAACTCACCCCATGACAGTAAACCAAGCTGAAGTCTCACATAAGCCAGACCCTTAGCATCCCATTTCAGAAAAATACATAAAACATCAATGATTTATGTTACTGTCATGACCACATAAGTAATTACCTTATCACATCTTTATCTCTGCAATAATGCAGTATAAAAGTCCTATACACCAACACTTCTGAATAATTGTTTGCTAATGCCACTACTTGAATGTTAGCATCCAATTTGCTACCTCAAACCCTAAACTATACAGCATTGAATTTACTTTGACGCAGCTTCATCTAGCTGTCATTAATAGCACTCAATATACTTCATTTTCTAATACTTTAATCACAATACTTCTAAGTAAGATGTCTCCTTTGCAAATGTTTATTCACACCATGAGCTAATTGCTCGCTAGCATTTACTCCTGTTGACAGATGAACAATTTATTCCCAAAACTAACTTTTTCGATACCACCTAACATAACAAAAGAAAAAATGAAATAGACACTCTGTACAATTGTATTCGAGTAATTATAAGTGTTAAAATCAATACATTATCTACCAGAAGTATAATGCAACTGGCTATAATATTTTAAAGACTTAGCTCCAACTTAATTTATGCATCTAGAGTTTATTAAAATAAAAATCTAAAATTTATAAAACAACAAAATTTTAAAATTTCAAATCACACTATTTTTAAGAAATAAGATCCGTTGTACAATCTAGCATACCAATTATTACTTTCACGAAGCTCTGAAATCCTCAAACCTTCTCAACCTTGAAATATTACTTGATATGTGACTAAGTCGATCATGTGATCTGTCACGTGATCTGTCACCTGATTAAATATTTCATTTTCCAATAACTCCATAATCTGCTACTACAGATTAAAAATAAATACCTACAGTATCATTAGAATCTTCCAGAGTATCTACTTGCAAATTGATATAAGATTTAGGCTTGTTTTGAAGAATTTGATTTTTCACTATATTGACCAACTTTAATTACCAATATCTTAAGCAAATAAAGAGTTCTATGAAAATTGATTATAACCACATTAATCAGGGCAATTGAAAGATGAGATATACTTAGTTTCAAGACAATACAAGCTCAAAATAAAATTTCATTTCCTTAGTTGAACAAAATTTTTGGGCCCCTATAGTAAACAAAAATACATATAGTCCAAGAATTAGATTTGATATCGACTTCAAAGTTTCCATTCTAACTACAATCAGAGCTTCCCCAGTAGATCCAAAAGAAAGTACTAAATTCAAATCATTTTTGAGAGTTCTATTTACCGTTTTCTATATCTTAGCCATCATATGTAATTTGAAATATTTCCCAAACCACAACTGCTTTAACCCAAGTTAGAAATTCTATTATATAAGTGAGGCCCAGTAATCTAATTATACCTTGTTTCATGAATTAATTGTGCTTGAGACAAAAATTATCCCTTGATAAAATACCGACATTTTTGACAAATTCAAACAACAACCATAATTTTTTGAAAACTAAAGCAATTAATAAAACACTTATAGCTATGAGATTCGCCATGCTCACTTGACTGATAGATGTAGTTAGACTTTGATCAGACATTCAAAAATATCATAAATGTTGAAATTTTTGTACCTAGTATAAACGTACCTGCTACAACCATTAATTATCCAACCAATAGTAATTTAATAACCAATACTAAATGCTCATCATAATACAACACCACTGCTTCTACAAGATCCTTCAGCAATAGAAGATACATTTATTTTTAGTACATTATATCTACATTTTCCCGAGTGGCATCTCCAAATTGTATAAGCACCAAAATTTCACCACCAACAAATACCATAACCCTTAGAAACAAATCTCTTGTATATTGTTAACCAGCGACACAACCTCCATGTATAGCAGCTTCTCCAGCTATAAAAACAATATATATATCCCTGTTTCTGAAATCCAAAAGTGATTAGTACCTTATACCTAGTTGAAACGATTGAACAACCAAATAACATCCATAATAACAATATCCCTTAATAAAATATGATGTGATTGGTTCTAGTGATCTAACTTTAGCCATTGAAATATATAATCACTTTAAAATTGAAGTCTATTTTCTAACCATCATACCATATGCACATCTCAGAACCATTACCACTCATGAATTCATACGGTGATATCTTCAGAACTCTCATGTCATCGCCAATTGTTGGTCTTTTAGACCAGTTCAAAGTTACCTTGATATCTTCTTGCTGAGTGGGGGTGATTCATCTGCAATATATCATTATGACTTTCAACTTGTGATTGAGTATTGTTTCCAC